CCGGGCCACCGAGTCCTTGGACGTGCGGCGTGCGGAGTGAGTGGGTCAGGGCGGAACTCGGCAGAACTCGGTGAACTCTGGCGGTAGTTGTCTTGCCGGTGGGGATAGTACGCTTAAGGTGGGGACTCAGTCGACGCCGCTTCCTCCCAAGCGCACGTGGGATGTTTGTGGACATTTGATGAGTCATCGCTCCAGATGCCTTCTGCTGTATGGCGCCGTCCTCAGCACCCAATGATCATGTCTATTTAGCAACAAGTCTGAACTGTTCAGGACTTCGCTGTCGGAACTAATAGCCTTGCATGCGACGTACCCTTTATCGATGTTTTGTGTACACACCAACCCGCTATCTATCAGTCCTTCATACCAATTCACGTGAAGTGCCCTGCACATCCGCGTGATTTCCCTCGAGTTTCTGCACGTCAAGGGACACTCCTCACGCGTGCACCCTTCGCCCGACACCACCATTGACGACCGGACCTTAAATCACGGCCGCTTTCCCTCCAGCCTGAGATCCAACATCTTCCTGATAGGCGCGATGCGTTTCGCCGACCGCGTCCCTGCGCATCGCCAAATGGATTACACGGCGCTGTTGCAGGATATCGGATATCAGCTGGGACATAGCGGAGCCGACTTTGGGCGGCCGGGGGCGCCGGCGTGGGCATAGAGCGGTGTGCCTGCCCCGGCCGATACAACGGCTCCTCATGCCAGGTATGTGCCGTTCACAGATAGGCCGCCGCTGACCCAGTGCGGGCAGGTGCAACCGACCGCGATGCTAACGTCCGCGGCGATGTTAGACCGTCCAAATCCTTATTTCGGGAAGAGGGAAGAGGGAGCAGGGTGGTGAAATCCTTCTTGGCGCGTGGTGCTGTAGCTGAGGAGAATCTATTTCGAGTAGTATGGTTATGTGTTCGTACTGCAACATCAGCTATCGTTAGGTTCAGGTGTGTTCGTGCTGCGACATCAGCTATGGTAGGTCAGGGTGTTCGTACTACGACATCAGCTTTCGTTAACTTCGTTGTTCTACTACGGCATCAGCTTCGTTGATTCAACGTACTACGGCATCAGCTTTCGTTAGATTCAAGGTGTTCGACTGCGACATCAGCTATGGTTAGGTTCAGGGGGTTCGTAGTGCGACATCAGACTATGGTAGTTCAGGGTGTTCGTACTATGACGTCAGCTTTCGTAAGGTTCGGGTGTTCGCACTGCAACCTCAGCTATGGTTAGGTTCAGAGTGTTCGTATTACATCAGCTTTCGTTAGCTTCAAGGTGTTCGTACTGCGACATCAGCTATGGTTAGGTTCAGGGTGTTCGTAGCGCGACATCAGCTACCGTTAGGTCCAAGCGTCGGCGTTATTTGAGCGCGGCTCACGCTCTAACTGCCCGACGACCCTGCGACACACCTCTAGCTGGCTGATGGTCGGGGGGTCTCTGCCGGCAGGACCCGAGCATCGGCTTCTACCGGATCCAGCGGCACGAGTACCAGAGCAGCGAGATCATCATCGAGCTCGTGGGCGAGGTGGTTCCCTGTCAGTGCAACGGCCGGGCTACCACCTGCGACCCGGAGACCGGCATCTGCCTGGTGAGACCGCGGCAGCATGATGTGCGCTCGGATGCAGCAGCCTTGGGGATGGGACCGAATCGCGCACGCTCCGCTCCCAGTGACACCGGCCGCTCGCCGTTTTCGGCCGGGTTTGAAGTGGCTTTGCTGACCGTCACGGCGCCGTGTAACCCTGCGGACCACACAAAAAGTCCCGACGGAACCAGTAACACAGACACCTGTGGTCAGCCGTTAGCCCGAGTCGTGACAGCGAACGGCTGTTCTCAGAACTGCACCGGAAACACCGCCGGCCGCCGCTGCGACCTGTGCGCCCCGGGCTACTACGGCGACCCGCTGGCCGGCGCGTGTCGCCGCTGCCTCTGCCCCACCGAGGAGATCTCCCACGCCTTCGGCTGCTCGGCATACTACGGCTCGTTCCGCTGCCAGTGCAAGCCCGGGTACGCCGGCGAACGCTGCGACAGGTGAGCGCCTCGGACGACCTCGTGTTGTCGGCGAGGGAGCTGCGTTCGTCAATACCGAAGAGTGGCAGCTGGTACCGCTCTTTACAAACGTTTCTCTAGTGGAGAGACTGACTGCGCGCACTACCATTCATGCCTACACATTAGGTGTAGATTATTTACAAGCGGATGTGCGGACAGAACGCGTGTTGTGCGAGCACCGTTCCTCCTTACAAATGCCTGGGGTAGATCCATGGCCGACTTGTTCCCGTTCAACATCGATGCAAAGCCGTCATGAACAGAAGATCAGTCCGTAATCCTTGCTTATTCGAAATCCCACCTCTCGTGATGGTATCTACCTAGCATGATGCGCCGTCCGTGGGCCTACGTGTAATTCAAGCTCCGAGCATCACCGCTCCCAGCCGACCTCCCAGCCGTGCTGCAGGTGTGCGTACGGCTACTACGGCGACGCGCGCGACCCCGCTGCCGGCTGCGTGCCCTGCGGCTGTGACCGGACGGGCAGCGTCAGCCAGCGCTGTGACCCGGTCTCCGGTCAGTGCCTGTGCCGGGCCGGCCTGCTGGGCCGCACCTGCTCCGGCTGCCCGGCTCGGCACGCACTCACCGACAACGGCTGCCAAGGTGAGACCACTGCCCCTGCTTCACAGCATCGGGACAGCTGATGTCTAGCTTTTGCCTTAAATTGAAAAGGGGCTGAATTCTAGCGGGGCTGGAACAACGATGCTAAATACAAACCGTATGATAAGCCGGGCATGAGGCATGCATTGTGCGTGCTTACCTCGCGCGTTGTGCTGTGCGCGTTGTTGTGCGCCTACTTTGGGGACAGGGAATGACACGAACATTCCTGTGTGGACACTGGCGATGCACCATAACAGCCGTACGAAGCTGCTCATTGATGTGGAACTGACGTGGACACTGCTATGTGGACAGAGTGCAGCGACACCTGTGTGCAGCTGCTGTTCGAGGAGGTGGACGAGTTGACGGAAGAGGTGACGACCGTCAACGTAACGCGGACCGTAGGCGCCCCCTGCGGCGCCTGTTCCAGCTCAGCAACACGACGGAGCAATACGAAGACGACTTCTCTGATTACATCCAGACGCAGCTGACGCTGAAGGCGCTGTACGACTCGCTCGATCTCACAAACTTCGCCAACACCATCCTGATCAGGGTAACTGGCGGCAGTGCATCAGAGAGCTGCTGAGTCTGAGATTCTCTGGCGTGTGACGAAAAGTATGTTGGCATTCTTGGTCGTTGGCTCGAGACGTGTGTGCATATGAATGAGCGTAACCACCATCGGGATTGGTGAGGCTCGCGGTAAGTTTTGGGCAGAGCTAATTATGTTGGCATTTTGTTGAAATGAAATGACACGAAAACAAATGAATCCTCGTGACTTTTAAGGCATGGTTTTGACAACGTGCACATGGAAAATGTGACCTGCGTACTTGTAATTAGTCTGCGCATACATTCTCTTGATGTATCATGCACCTGCCAGCTTGTTGAGCATACACAGAATAACCTCTACTGTCTGCCGACTAACTGATGTGGCCGAGCGGTTGAATAAGATAAAAACGTCTGTTTTCCCAGACGAAGGATTTAATGTCTACGTTCCCCCCGCCTTAACCAACAACACCCGTGATCTCCGAGACCAGATAAAGGCCATCAATGAGTCTGTTGAGGCGTCCAGGAAAGAGGCAGAAGGTATGTTATGAAACGGACAGATATGCTGTCGCGGTTTACCTGGCTTGTCTAGCCCAGAGCTTACGTTACTGCAGCAAGGCGATAGCCATCGGCACCGTCTGCAGCGGTCCTATGTGCTCCTGGCAGTTCTGTCAAAGCAAGGGGTCCACAACTTCTTTGCTACAGACATTGGCTCACAAAAAATCACACTGTAGTGACTTTAGTCTTCGGTAATTACAACGGGGGCGCAAAGGTCAAAGAGAACAAGCCCCATCGGTTTATATGTTACTTCCTAGGGGCGTGGCAGCATTGCCCGGTCATGTGCCGAGGTGAAGGAATGTTGCCGCTGCTCACAGTGTTGCCGGCTATCGCCCCGTGCTGTTCTCCACTTCAGATATCGTTGCGGAACTGCTGAGGTACGCCCGTGGCGAGACGCCGGCAGTGTCGGTGGAGCAGGCACTGGCGGACGTGCGCGCCATCTTAGAGCTGATGCAGAAGCGCAACTTCAGCGAGGCCCAAGAGAGGGCGGAAGCGGAGCTAGCTGCGGCCCGCCGCCTACTGGAGCGTGTTGGCGGATTCGGCGTGAATAGGACGGCGCATCAGGTGGTCTCCTCGCGGCTGGAGGAGATGCGGCGCCGCCTACTTGACATGCAGCAGCTGATGGAGGAGCAAGTACGCCGTCCCGTCCGGAAGGTACGCGCGGCGGAAGGAAGGGGGGGGGGGGTAAACAAATTACAACGCCCCGGCTGCGAAACACGATCAGCAAACAACTTTGGAACTGAATTATATTTCTTTTCAGGTTTGTTTCTGAAAAAATTAACTCTTGATTTCAACCAGCACTGGCTGTTAAAAGTTATGGGTGCCGACCGCGCCTATTCCGCCGTTTCCGGGACTGGAATCCCTGGCGACTTTGCAGGCTAATGTGTTGCTGGAAGAGCTGATGGACGGCCTGGATTCGCTCTCGGCGGGCAGACAGCAGGTCCAGAGCGAGGCAGAGCAGTGTGAAGGCGTGCTGGCCAACACAGAGCTGCAAACGCGGCTCTATCGTCTTTACGACCAGGCCCAGGGGCACGGCATCGTAAGTTCGCCTCCGCCGTTTTTCCAATTGTGTGTCACCAGCATTGGCGCAAGCAGAATGCCCACAATTTGCTCACTCTCCTCCGACTCGCTGTGACACAGGACGAAAATTTGGAGTTCAGCGGATCACAAATGCTTAACGTATGGCAACCGGTGAACGGCGCCATTAATGATTCCGAGTGAGAACCGTGGCATCTGCATCGGGGTTCCCACCGACTTTTTCCGCAAGGGCTTGCCGTAACAATATATCATCATAAGGCACGAACATTCGCAATGCATGTCTGGCATTAAGAGCACAGTTGAGATACTCGCAAAAATTCCAGACACAAATGGTACAAATAATGACGTCTCCGTACTTGTACTCTGGGACCGGTCTTGTGAGACTGTCGCGAGCTTCGAGGTGGCGATGTCGTGACATTCCTGTCGGCCGCTGGCAGATCTCAGCGACATCCAGCTGGAACTGTCGCTGGCCAACGCGAGTCTGCAGAAGCGGCTGACGACGCTGGCCAACCTGACCGACGACTTCCGCGTCCGCTACGTCATCCCTCCCTGCCGAGTTCACGCTGACCGACTCACGACTGAGGCCGAGCGACTGGTCGGGTGAGGCGGAGCCCC